TGCCTCGAGACCGTGAGTAACGAAGCTGACCTTTAAGGGCCAGTTTTACAATTTAGGATTTCTTGAGAAGTTCTGAGTTAAACTGAGGATCTCAATCTAACTGGTGATTTGAGTTCAAGTTAAACTGCAATGTCTAGATTTTCGCAAACTTCACTTATATATTATTTTATGCTGGAGATGTACTTTTTTTATTCTGATGTTCTGACAAGGCGATTAAAAAATGTGATATTTTCTTTTATGTGCGCAGATCACAGCGTTGCTTTTTTGTTCCCAGTAAGATAGGGTTAAAAATATATATGAATGTCTAAAATCTCCGGTTCCTTTCAATTATTATGGAGAAATATTCAATAAAATTGAAATTGTTACAAATTATAAATATACACAAAAACAACTGACAACAACGAATTCAAAAATAAAACAAAGAAAACGTATTTACGAGGTGTGTTCAAAAAGTAAAGTGACTTTTAAGTTTTACCAAGAAGTATGTTAGGGATTACAAATTACAAAAGTCGCTTTACTCTTTGAATACACCACGCATACGACGCCAATGTTGATCCTGGTGACGAATTATGGGTTATGACGTCGAAACTAAAGCCCAGTCAAGATTTTAGTTAGTGTTTTCATTGATTATCGTGATATAGTGCATCAAGAGTTCTTACCACAAGGTCGTACTGTCAATAAAGAATATTACCTTAAAGTTATGACCATTTTCGAGAAGCAATACGAAGAAAACGTCCGGGATTGCGGGAAAACAATTTGTAGATTTTGCATCACGATAACGCACCTGCTCACTCATCGTTGCCTGTGTCTAACTTTTTGGCAAAAAACAAAAGTACAATCATGCCTCAGCCACTTAAGTTGCCTTACTTTTTGAAGACACCTCGTATACACTTTAACACAACTCCAATTTTCGTTAATGCACCATACCTGAACTAAAATTATTTTTGGAAGGGTTGTTTAAAGATATTTGAGAAGAAATAGTATATTATGCAACAAGTGCGGTAATCGGCATTTGACTTACTAGTTTATTTGACACGAGTGGAGCGAGTGTTTAATAAACGAGTGACTTAAAAAGTTTACCGAACATGTTGCATACTATACTTTTTCTACGACCGTTAGTTTTTGGGTACTTTTTCGCAAAACAACACATCACAACATATCTTCGAAAACATCCGATTGCTCCCAAACCCGTACGTAGTAAAGTGACGCTTAGGCATTTTACAGACGGAAGTAGAAAAACATTTTTTTTCGTATTTAGTGCACATTTTTAAGAAGTGTTAAGAACAAAAAACAAATTTTTGTTATGATGTTCTTGATATCTTGATCAGTTTAAAAAAAAACATTTTTTTTTAGTAATTTGATTTGATTGACATTTTTTCAGTTTATTGGACGTATTCAATGCAAAAATAACATACGGGGTCTGACACTTGTGAACAGGTTTCCGTTTCATTAATAATGTTACGATGTTATAGCAAGTTTTTATGAATGATAGCAAATTTGTATATATGTAATACTAATTAACACTCAAGAGGCTGAAAGTTGACAAATTGACAAAGTGACAAATTGATACTAAACGTTTTTGTAAAATGGAAAACTATAACAATTTAATTAAAAAATTAAATATAATAGTGCCAGGTTGAAATTAAAAAAAAAGCAGTGTTTGGTACGATAAAAATAATAAACTAATATGCAAAATCGTAGAATGGGTGATTATAATTATAATCGCAACCCAAAATCTATGTCCCAATATATTTATATCCAGCAGTTTAATTTTGATTGAATAAAAGTGTCAATATTTTATTTTGCATTTCCCTCATAGCTGAATAATACGCAAGAACGCGTAGTTTGCCAAGCTAAATTGACCTAATGTCTTCAAATTTGATATAAATGACACCGTCTGCCGATTAAGACATTTTCTGAAATAGGCGACACGCACAAGAGACATTTTTTGTCGGAAATTTGGCCCGACCTTAGGAAAACGTATCATTTAAGATAATGTTCTCACATTATGTTTCATTTTCAAAATATTTCCTGTTTAAAAAATGGAACACCCACGGACGAGAGTCGGGTTCATCGTTATTTATTATCAATTTCAGCCTTCTTTCTGTGAATTTCGCGGTCTCCTCTGTATAATGGATAACTGGTTTTGCTTCAACCTAAATTCGTAACCAACTGGACTGGATAGCAAAGGAGAAAGAAGAGAGAAGTACTATTCCTATCATTAAGGCCTAAGGCTGTACATCCCAGTAAAATATTTGTTTACGTTTTAATTTTTTTTTGTTAAATGGATCTCTCAAAAACGCACTAAAACCTTATGATTATATCAACCTGAAGGTATGACCAACTGGGGCCATTTGTTGATTAAAAACGTCCAGAAGGGCTATTAGGTATTTCTTTAAGTATAAAGTGGTAACGAATTATTATTAAGGACTATCTAAAACCTATCCATAATAATTTCTATAGAGCTCGAAAACAAGGTGTTCCACCGTAGCAAGGTTCTTGTGTAGAATGTTTGTTTATGAGTCAATTTTGTTAAGTCATGTTTGTTGGATAGATTTTAGTAACGCAGTTAATAATCTTGCACAGTTTTTTGAGGCGAAAAAATGAGACGTACATTTAAGCATTTTTTCAAATTGAAAATTACTAAAAGTAAATAGACCATATCTCGGACACTTTTCCGAATTTCATCATTCACTCCTTGTTTGTTAAAGAGAATTAGTTAATATTTACATTATACCTTTCGAATCCTATGTTGTGTTGTTGTTGTGTTGTCTGGTTGTTAGTATATAAATTTGAAAATTCTTGAAAGGGATTGCGTGGAAAAGTTTATTCATTCTTTTTTCATTGTTAATACTTACATTTCGCGAAGGAGTGTAGATATTGACAAATAGACAGTCTTCATTTTCAACGGATCGGTTGTAGTTTACAGTCAATACAATTGTCCTGCTTGGTCGCATCTCAAATGCCTCACCGTGATTCGGATGGAACCGGAGTCTAATAAATTATGTTAATAACGACCAAATTTTGAATTCGTGTTCTGAAGTCTATCTCTACTGTTAGCGTCAATTTGCTTCTAAAACGTACTGTTAGCGTCAATTTGCTTCTAAAGTTTGAACTGTGTAAAAGATTAACGAGTACTCTAAAAAGTGGGGACCAACAAAAACTGGTATTTTCTTATTTATCTGGAACATTTCGGCAAACTCTTTCCAGGTGTCATGGGGACATGGCGCTATGTATATATTTAATCATTGTTAATTTTTTCGTCGGAAACCGTCAATCAAAAATCATTTTCGATGAAAGATCGGTGTCGTCGATAATAGTCCTGCATCCTAAGCATAATGCAAAAACGATTCTTTCCTTAATAGTTTGATACACTGTAGTGCAATAAGTTTATTTGAACTCGTTATCTTAAAATCACCTGCGGATCCACCCCCTCAAGGATCAGATTCTGAAATACCATAGACAAAATTTTGGGAGTATATTCAATCCATTGTTGAGAATGGTCAGTTATGGATCGACTAGACCGCGAAATGGTATACTATTATTTTGTTATAACTACATTTACTTAACGACGCATTGTTAATTATAGATCAAGGATGTTTGATTGATTTAAATGTAAAGCCAATCTATTAAATCAGTATAATTTTATTAAAGTGTTGGGTGGTTGTTGGTAAATAAATTTTAAAATCCTTTGAAAGGTTTCGGTCCGTATTTATAGAAAACTTCATTCCACATTGCGTACTGGGTAGCCTTTCTATTTGGTTTTGCGTCAAAATTCGATTGTACTTCGGCCTGTTTGATCGTTCGTCTCACAAAAATATCGCTAGTGATTTAGAAAGTTATTTTGTCACGAGGAAAAAATCATTTTTTTTATCAATTTTTAAACATTCTTTTACCTATTCGGTAGCTAAGGAATAAGCTATGAAGCTAGCTAAGATAAGATCGTTCTTATTTCCTGACGTTCATATCACGTATTCCCGGCTTAGTATTTTTTTTACCTCTAACGCTTGTGAAATATTAGTTACAAATGATCTAGATTGGCCCACATACGCTTCTTTGATAATATTTCCAAGTACTATTAAATTGGTTCCTGGAAAAGGTTCTAGGGCAGGAGGAATTAACACCAAAATCATATAATACAGCAACAGCGAGGACCAGATCTAAAAAAATTCCAATTAGAGCGTGACGTTAAGAAATATGTCAAAAAATGACTATTGAAGCCTTTGCCAAGTAATTCAGCAGACATAGTTCCTAGCACTAGCGGAACATGATTAAAATCACTAGATTACAATAGCGGAGAATCTGCAAAACACTTTCTAATCGTCAAAATTACGCGACTCGTTACATAGTGTTCTGAGCAAGCATCTATAGAAATTCGGAGTAGCTGTAAACTGCATTGAATCTTTTATATCTTTTTATACAATAGTACCTTGGGACTAATCTCCTACAACCGGAGGCAGTTACAGGCTTTTTAAAGTGAATTTGAGGACTATACAACAGAGCTCAATTTACCAAAAACTAAAAAAAATAGACAAATTTCTTAGTTTGTAGTATAAAATAACAGCAACTCTCTGCTAACTTTGTTATACGTGTATAATAAAATAGGTCAAATCCTCAACTGACCAAAAGTTTCCTTATATTCAAGAATCCATTTAAAGTCTCGACAGCTTGATTTTGAAGAAGTTTCTTATCTCTTTGGTGGTGTTCTGATCTGCGATGTCGATATTTAATAGCTTGGCTGCCGCGTAAGCATTTGATTTTGGATCAAATTGATACAAACCTACCAGCGAACATCCACTTTCATAGATGGCTGCCCTGTATAATCCTAATCAAACAAATTACTTAAAAGTTTCTTTTATATTGCTTCCACCATATTACCTTGTGACTTTTTGTTCATCAAATGAACTCCAATAGATCCCATCAGCGCTTTAGCCAAATAATGTCACCTTCCTGGGATCACCACCAAAGTAACCTATATTCTGTTACACCCATTTCAAGGCCTAGTCTTTTAATCCGGCATTTCCCAATATCACATCATCTCCTGTTGACAAAAAGCCGTAAATTCCCCACCTGTAGTTAAAAGTCAGAAATATCAAGTCTTCGCTAACAAGCTCGCCGGGTCCGAACTGATAGGTGGCACAACCCGCTTCAAATGCACCCCCGTAGAAATCTAGCATGGCGGGTAATTGGTCTGTAATCTACGATTGAGGACAAAGTTCACGTTTTTCAAGCTACGCATATTGATTTTATTATTTCCTTTGTCGGACACCTAAGACTTACATTTCGCGAAGAAGTGTAGACCAGACAGTATTCATCCTCAATGGATGGGTCGCAGTTTACGGAAATACTGCATTTGCTCGCTTTGGTAGTATCAAGAATGCCTTTCCATGATTCGGTCGAGACTGGGGCCTAATACAATAAATTCTTTTAATAAGCTTTCTGCAGAAGCCTATCGAGAACTATCGCCGTCAACTTCCTAATTTTGGAATGCCATGTGGTGTTGTTTGTACCTGTTTCATACCCTGTACGACAATACGACAATAACCCTATTGGTGGAGATGCGAACGGAACCCCTTCATATTTTCATAATCGGATCTGCACCCTGAATATCAAAGAATACGTGTTTAAAGCTTTTTTTGCGATAGTCTATCCAGGACTCGATTCGGGAGAGTTTCTTTATTCATAAACTGATGTCTTTGCAGCTCTTTTATGCAGCAAGTGTGATAAACGCCATTTTGGTCAAAAATAAAATATGAAATATCAGGCATCATATCGCATTAAAATATCCATGACAACAAACTATTTACCAAAGAAGTGTTAATTGTCAATAAAATCGTTGTTATGAACATTTTTTTGTTATCCATGGTTGTCAAGGCTTCTGTATAGAAAAATTAATGATTGTCATTTACGATAAAATTTAATATCTACTGTCTGTTCAAAGGTTACAGACAATGATAATTATTCAAGAAATGATTTCTACGTTGATTAATATCTATTATTTACTACCATTATGTTCAAACTGAAGTTTCCGTCAAGCTCTGAAGAAGCCAACAGGATGATTGGCGAAACGTCAGTAATTTCGACTAAGCAAAAACCGACGCAGGGGGAATCCAGAAGTTTTGTAAAAAGGATTACAGTAGCCTGTCTAAGTTTCTTAAAAAAAAATGAAGACTGTCTATTTGTCAATGTCTACACTCCTTCGCGAAATGTAAGTATTAACAATGAAAAAAGAATGAATGAACGAATGTATAAATTTTTCCACGCAATCCCTTTCAAGAAATTTCAAATTTACATACTAACAACCAGACAACACAATGAAATTATGTTCATTCAAGAGATTCATACTTGCTCAATAATTAATAATCAACAGTAATTTCCAAAAATACCTTCATCTATTCCTATTTCCACGTTCTCAAAATTTTATATAGTGCATTTCACTGTAGCAGTAAATAACTTGGGAAATATTATTTCTACGACACTGATTTTTCTTCAATTTAAAATTATCTTTCATATCCCCATTGAAGCTTTTAAATGAAAAGTGAACGAAGACTAAATATATAAAAATATACATTTTTGTATCATTTACCAAAATTCTATTGTCATTAAATATTGAAGCATCAGAAGCTTTTGAATACATGTTTATAAAAGTACAATTAAAATGCCATTGATTTTTTGTGACTAAATAATATCATGTCAAACTTTTCGCATGTTCTAATTTGAATCAAATGCCCGAAATGCTTAAAACTCAGTAATCTGATTGATCCCTAAGAGAATTGATATATTAAAAATAATTCAAACACACTAAGTCTATTGGTGCAATAAACGTTGCAAGCACACAGTATATATAACGTTATTTTTAATCCAAAAGTCCACTTTTCAAGGCAAAAAGTCCTAAAATGGTATAGTCGGCATCTATTATGCTTAACGGGCCCAACCCTTCTGTTCGAAATTTTACCACCCATTCCCGCCGATCCAAATAGAACATGCATTTTGTTGTGTTGTGGATAAATGTAATGACCAAATGACCGGTGTAGTTAGAATAACATTAAACAAATGAAGTTTTCCTTATGTTCTATTGAGCTTCGCACAGTATTTAGTACAAACAGTACAGACCGAGTAAAGCCATCCAACAAACCAAATACCAGTAACAGTAAACGATTTGCGCTTTATGGCCATCCGTCTGCCAATCTGTAGAATTATTAAACAATTTTTTTTTAAATAGGCCGATATTTTTTAGTTTTGTTGAGTGGTAGCTGGTATTATCTACGACTATAGCAGACCCAATATTTGCTGGAAGTGGTCTTCACACACATCAAAATTCCTGACTTAATGTTTTACTAATGGTATGTCCTTCACTTACCTAAGGTTCGCCCAGATAATATATATCTATTAATGGTTTCCCTTCGAATCTGTGTAACTTCTCTCAAAAATTATGTTTGCCAGCAGATAATTTTACCCACCCCTATTAAATTAGTTTTTTTTTACGAAATGTTTTTCGGCATTTTTAGAAAGTGCAGTTTTATTAATCCGTTTCTCAACAACAAAATTACCTTTGTCGCACTCAAATGTACAGGTAATACTTTTGGTGTATTGTAAATAAATGTAGTAGATTTTATAATTAGTTTTCTAGCTGTAAATAGGACAAAAACATTGATAGCCAAGGTGAGGTTAAACAAAAATCCAATTGGGATTAAAGACTTTTTTTTAGTAAATCTCTCGAAAAATCAGAATCCTATAAACGGCTGTTGCCCGTATGTGTAGTAAACTTTGTTCCACATTGCCATTTCATTTGTCTTTTTACCGGGCTTGATCTCAAGAGTCGTATCTATATCCAGGTAAGGAATATTTGAACCCGAAACTTGAGGCCACGTTATATTGAGGAGAGGATCCGACTCATCCGGTGTGGGATTCCTAAAAATATAAACGTAAAGAATTACAGAAACAGAAGTAAAAACGCAACCCACAGTGTCTTCGCGAAATTGGTCCATAATCTGGTCATTCTGCTTCTAGTTAGAAGCTCCTCGTCTGTGGTTAACGGAAAGATATCAAACAAATAAAGCACGTCCTCTCCATGACCTATTTTTCCAGCGCCTTAAAACAAAAAAGATTTGCTTATTTCTGTAGATGTTGATAATTATTTTCTAGGTACCTTCAACAGTGGCATGTATATGAGTTAATGTTCCAGAGAAAGAAAACTGGTAAAAGTATACAGGAGAATAATTGGATTGAAGTTCAGCTTGTTTGAGAGACGATCTTACAAACAAATTGTCGCTGGTAAACTGAAAATTATTTAAGCCATATAAAACGCTAATAGTTTGACCTTTGCACTAACAGTGCTCCTAAACATTTGATAATACATTACATACAAGAATGGATACTTAGGAGGATACTTAGTTTTAATAGGAACACATATTTGCTTCGTGTGAAATAATTTCCATCACTAAGTGAGATTACCTCAACAAAAGATGCCAAATTCAATAGAAATGACTGGTTGGTATATGCCTGTTTGATTAATTCTCCAACTTCGGTTAAATCAGTACCCGGCAAAGGATTTAATCTTGTGGGTATTAAATACTGCGGGTTCAAATCATAAGCAAGGGCAGCGACGATTAATTCCGGCAGTAAAACTAAAATGTGATTAATTTAATACTTTTTAACCTAAATTAAATATATGCACAGCAATTACGCACTTCCGTAAAACGTAAGTGATTCGCCGGAAGTTGTTCCCATCAGTAGAGGTACTTGGTTAAAGTTTCCCGACTCGATCAATCCGAACTGACGATCCGTTATATATGCATCATCGTCTTCAACTTCTATTACCGGGCCCGCCTACAATAGCGAATTCTTCGAGGATGTACATTAAATTTACCATGCACTTACTTGGGAGTTTGCGCTGAAAGCATTACTCAACACATCAGCTGGTTGACTCTGCAGGAAATTTCTGATTTCCTCGCTGTTTTCGGAAATAGATGAGTTTATAGATCTGGCGACGTCGTAAGCAACTTGCTTCGGATCTGATTGAGACGTTAGTGCCGAGCTCGTCAAAGAACAACCGCTCTGGCAAATCGCTGCTCTATATAATCCTGCCGATTTCTTGTTCGCAATATGTGCTCCGACTGACATGCCACCTGCGCTCACACCAAATATTGTCACTTTTTCTGGATCGCCACCAAAATATTCAATGTTTTTCTGCGTCCACTTCATCGCTAATAGTTGGTCCTTGAGTCCAGCGTTACCCAAAATTACGCTATCATTGGTACTTAAGAAACCGTACAGACCAAGACGGTAATTGAATGTAACCACAATAACGTCTTCGGTTACGAGAGGATGAGGATCCCCCGAGAAGATATCAGTGGAACATCCGGTTGTAAATCCGCCCCCATATATCCAGAACATTACTGGTAATTTCTCTGTAATCTAATAAACATAAACCTTGACGTCAAACAGCAAAATTATATATGATTTATTTGAATTTATTGAATTCCTAAATTAAATACCAATAATGAAAAAAAAGTAATTAACAATTACCATGCAGCAAAAATAGATAAACGGAGACAGAATACCCTCTTATATTAAAACTTAAACTAATCGTAATAATAATTAAAATGTTTCAACTTAGTATTTCTGCAAACTAAGCTATAATTTCACAATTGAAACGTGTTGGATTTCCTTTTGAAAGTGCAATGTTAATTTTTAGTGTGTACATTATTTCACCATAAAAGTCCAGCACGATAATCGTCAAACTGTACTAATTTCTATAGTGAATGTGACATTGATTATTTAATTTCTACTTTCTGTTCAAGAACTCACATTTCTCGCAGGCGTGTAGACATTAATATAAAGACAATCCTCACTTTCTGCCGGCCCACTTAGAGAAAAACTCGTCGATATGCAACAATCTTTCGCTTCAGTAGCGTCTAGAATTCCGTCCCATGGCGCGTTTGGCACTGGAGCCTGTAATTTTTTTTTCCAAATCTATAGAGAGTGGACCAATTTTAATAATTTACCTGAAACCTCAAATTTCCTAAAGGAGGAATTGCAAACGGAATACCGCGATAAGCATAGTAGGTATAGTTTTCGGTTGTGGTTTCGTATCCACGAATTGTGCCATCCGGAAGATCGATCAAAAGATCTGCGTGCTGAAAAGAAGAAATTGATATTATATAAACGTGCCTATATATGAGTGTCGGTCGTCTGCAAAATAATAGGTCACTCGCTACTTATCATATTTCCCTAAGAATTGAGAAATTTTAACTACATAACTCCGATAACCAACAAATAAATGATTAGAAAGCTACACACCAAATAAGCAGCAATAATTCAAAATAACTATTACGCTTGATAAGTCCCTGACAGTGAGTCTAGTCTTGAGATATATAAGAAAACAGTTACTTAGTTTTACAGAATAAAAAATACAAATATTGCTTTTAAATTACTCACCACAAATGATATTAATAATACGCCTAACAGAAGTTGTTTATGCATCATGACTTTATCTGTTTTGAGGTTTCGTTTAAGATCTTCAATATTTATACAAATCTGCGATGCTTGAAAATGATAAAGGGCTTATCTATTTAAAATACCCTCTTATATTTTAAGTGAATCATCACGTATCACAATGCTAAACTGGCTGAACAGATGGCTGCTCGATACGCACCTTACAGATTAGCCATTAATGTTATTGCTAGATATAAATCTAGCAAAATATATAAATCTATATAAATCCAGCAAAATTCGATGCTAACGGATATTTTTGAAAAATTGGTTTATGCGACTTATTTTTAGTTGGATTAGAGCAAACTTGGAGACACAGTTGGCAATTGGTTAGCTAGGAACAAAATTAAAAGTAAACATACTATCAACCAGGTAGCCCAGATATTTTACCAAGACTATCAAGTAATTCCTAAGCAGTTGGTCTGTATGTCACTCTGACCCAAAGCATATATTGTGACTGCTTGGTATAGCTAGTTGCGTCTAGTTTACACCCAGCAGGTGAAAACGTGTTCGATAGGCCTTCACATGAGGTCATCTTATTGTATATTATTTTTTATCTATATGCTCGGGTTGGAATTAAATTGGACATTGGCCCAAGTAAATATTTGAATTAAAATTCCTATAAATAATAAGATGTTATCTTTGTCTATCATCAATCAGCGATGAAGGTTGTTAAGGACCTAGTAATCTTTGTAAACTTTGGACCGCCGTATTTATTGAATATTAGATTTATGGATCTGGTGTATAAGTGAGTTTTTTAAATTTAAATTTTTAAAAGAATTATTGCAATTTTTAAACAAAAGTTTAAGAATGAGGCCTTATGTTTTTTCGGACAGTTTGTTAGTATTGCCTAGAACTACATAGCACTATATATCCAAAGTGGAGCTTGGAAGACATTGTTTGTGTCTACAGAGTTAGATTTTGACAAATAAGTATAATCAAACATATAATATTTCATGGATTATAAGAAAAATACTCTGGAAAACGTACTTAATATTCAGCAGGTATATTCAATGAGCAAATTCTGTGCCCTTTCTGATCTCCACCGCGATGTCATTCCTGCATAGTAAATGTCTGACAAAAAAGTGATAATCGAAAAACATTAAATATTAATAAAGTTGATGCCGTAGTGCTAACTTAACTATGAAGTTTGCGTTTTCCACACCATACAGAAATAACTCCGAGATCGCCCAGAAACCCAAACAAAAAATCTACATTTTAGGTTTAAGTCTCGCCCATTATTACATGTTTTATTGAGATTATGAAATTATGTAATGGTGTACTTCAGTGGAGCTGCATTTAAAATGAGCTGTTCGGCGGGTACTCGCATTAAAATGGGAACAACAAAATACAGGTAATATTTGATCAAAGTGTTGCTGGAATATCTCTTTTAAAGAAACGTTTTTCAAGATCACATGTAAAGATAACTACAGTTATCCTTTCTAACTGAGAAATTTGGTCAGTGCCAACCTATTAAGTGCCTTTATTACAGATGAAAACTCTACCGATGATGCAAAATACTTCTTGCAAAGTCACCCTATTGAAACTTTAAGTAGTGTTTCTAATACCAATAGTTTTTGATAGGTACGCACACACCCAAAAGTTTCACACAACCGTAAGGAATAATTGCAGGATTGACCTTTCAAGTATTTGTAAACGTCAGTAACAATTGCCTTCAATGCCCACTTGAAAACAGAAACTGAATAGTGTTTTCTCCAATGAATCATTTAGTTGGTTGACGACTTGACTGAGCAGATTATATGAATGTGAGTATACATTATTGTAATAGATTATCTAAGTTGCGTTGCAAGTCGAAAATGATTATGCTTATGTACCTCAGCTTCCGTTCCCACTACTGGAATCTTGAGATTTCAATCAAGTTCCACTTAATATTATTAACCCTATCTGCAGAGTCCCCTACTGGTGCGGTAATACATTTTTGATTTCAGTGTCACCCATTTAATTCCACCGTGTGAGAGCTGAATCTTACAATTCATGTAAATTAAGCCTAATTCAATAAAGAATTTAAGCTTTCCATTTTTTCAAACGACCTCGGAAGTAAACACTCCTCCTGCATTGCTCCTGTTTTGCTTCAATTGAATCTGTCTGAAAATGCGAAACGCCTGCGAGGCAGAATCAATAGCCGAAGCAGAAGAATTCAAAAAGAAGCGAATGTTATGATGGCAGATCTATCGGATTCATTGAATTCTTGACCACCGCCAATGTTGGAGGAGTGAAATTCGGCTATCGCATTTTTCATTACGGATCGAGGACAACAACAGAAGTACAAAATCATAATTAATCACTTGCAAAATAACCCGGATAACTGACCCTATTTGGTAATTCTCTAAGCAATTTGAATAGATTTATTGCATCAGTTATATCCCTGACGATTTTGATTTAAGACTTTGGTGGTTCGTTTTTTCCTTTTAAGACAATAAGTTATAGTTTTGGTTAGTTTCAACATTTTATTGCATCAGAAAAGAGTTCTTCAATTTTTGTATTTTTGGGGCACTCTGTATTATATGTAAAATATATTTTTTAATAATGAAATAGAAAGGCTACCGAATCTGCAATTCGGAACAAAATTCACGATACGTACTGAATTAAATCTTTTAAAAGATAAACCGTAGAACTTAAAATTGATATTGATTACTTACAGGGCCGCCAAGTAGTTGCTTCTAAGAATATATTAAATATAAAGAAAGGTTGGCAAAGGCCACTTTAGTCAGGAGTTTGGTTTGGTACGAATAGAGTGTCTAAACGAGCAACTGAAGAAGTTTATCAGCTGGCGTCAGTAACAAAGCTGTCATATCAAAGGAGTAGAAAAAATCTGTAATAAAAATATGTAGCGACATAGAAAATATATCTTACTTAATAACAATAACAATTCAACAGTATTTTTAGTTGTCCTAATTTGTAGGTTGCAACGAATTTCATAAAAGACACTGGGCTTTCGCTTATAGCAACAACGCAAGCGATGTTGATTACCTCCTTAAGAGATAAATTTTAATTTTAAACAATTTCATTGCAAGTAATATACCAGTTCGGAGAATATTCCTAACCCACCGTAATGCGTTTCTAATTGCTGACTGCCATTTTTGTAACGTTTTTTTTTTACCAATGGTGAATTTTCCTATAATAATATGGCCATATAGAGCTCAGAAACTAATTGTCTTTGCTGGCGTTTGTTTACATGTTATATTTCTGATATTAGAAAATCAGTTTTCATTCACATAAGAATGTTAAATAGATCATCAGATCGTTAGCTGATTTAAAACGAATTAACTGCGAACTGCTGGTATATATGCTAATAATACATGCATTTGGGAAACCAACATAAAAATAGTGAGGAGGAGCATTCAATATGTCACGATTTAGTTGGTGATAGTTGGGGGGGGGGTTACCTTACATTGAGAGAGATTTTTGATTAGTCTTCGCCAAAGCATAATCGGCACTAAGGGAGAGCAAAACGGAAGTCGGCACTGGGATAGGCCAATGTTGAATGACTTAACATGTTCACGTCAAATATACGTATTGTTAGATTAGATTAATGCAGTTGCCTGTATCGATATGCAATATTGATAAATTAAAATCCAATTTGCTTTGATAAAATATTATAATTGTGAATAAGATGTTACAAAATCTAAATCCTACTTCGAGAGTCGCATCTATATCGAGATAAGGGATGTTTGAACCCGAAACTTGAGGCCATGTTACGTTGAGTAGCGGGTCCGATTTATCGGGGGTAGGATTTCTATGGAATTAAAACCTATAGAATTGTAAAATCAGATTCACCAGAACGTAACTCACAATATTTTGGCGAAATTGGTCCATAAACGAACCATTCTTCTTCTTGTTAGCAACTCTTCGCCTGTAGTTTATGGATATAGTGGAACCTCAAAGAGATAAAACAGATTTTCTGCATGTCCTACTGTTCCAGCACCTTAAAATCAAAATAGTGTTCTTTCCTTGTTCTATTTGTAAGTATATACTTCAACTCTGATATGGAACGAACTTCCTTTTCCGGAATAAGAAAACTGGTAAAAATACACGGTGCTATAATTGGATTGAAGTTCAGCTTGTTTGAGAGACGATCTTACAAACAAAGTGTCGCTTGTAAACTGAAAATTATTAACGTCACACAGAAACACACAAAAGCAAAATTAAATTCCGGATTCATATATATATATATATATATATATATATATATATATATATATATATATATATATATATATATATATATATATATATATATATATATATATCTTTATCTATCCAGTAGCAACTCATAATAGGTAAAACGCTTATTCCTTTAAATAAAAAAATAAATAAAAACATCAAACGATGAAGCTTAAAAAATACTAAAGCGTTCTATAAACTTGGGTCGTCTGTTGATGTCGACAGGCTCGCGTGGCGAATCTCGTGCTGCTGCAAGCAGGTGAATCCACCTGTATCGCAACACGGTGTAATTAACAGGTAGTACCAACTAGATTACCATTATAAGATATGATATTTTGCAGAAATTGGGGGCCGCGAATATTACTCAACTCTTGAGTTAATTGCACATGTGGTTTAAGATTTGGGGTCGTTGTTATAATGATATCAACGAGGAATAGTCTATCGATAGTCCGTATCGATATAGGAAATTTATGTCAATCACAGTCACATAATACTTAATAATTATTAGCGAACGAAACATAAAATAGAGAAGTTTTGACCAAAGTAACACAGTATAACTCTAAAAAGTAAAACGTATGATTAAAATATATTTGTTGAATATACGGCCCTGATATTTATGAAGTAAAATTGTACATTAAAATAAATGTGGAATGTGAATTACACGCCAACCGGGATTTTTTCCAAAATGACGGGAGAGTATTTAAAATATACTTTCTCTAGTCTCAAAACATGACATTATCAAATTTACAAAAAAGAGCGTATTAAATACTGAGAGGTATTTTGTTCGCGCTTACAGCGTCTTCTACATTT